TCCAGCTTCGATTCTAAGCAAATTTAAGCGAATTCTGAGCGGATTTAAGCCAATTCTGATCAAATTCAAGCCAATTCTGATCAAATTTAAGCCAATTCTGAGCGAATTTAAACCAATTCTGAGCGAATTTCAGCCAATTTCACACCAAAACCCACGCAATTAAAAGCAGACAACACCATTAAACTACAACTTCGAATCTCAGCAAATTTAAGCCAATTCTGATCAAATTCAAGCCAATTCTAAGCAAATTTAAGCCAATTTTGGGTCAAAACTCATCCAATTAAAACCAGACAACCACGTTAAACTCCGTCTATAGTTTTGAACAAATTTAAGCCAATTCTGATCAAATTTAAGCCAATTCTGATCAAATTTAAGCCAACTCTGATCAAATTTAAACCAGCTTCGAGCGAATTTCAGCCAACTCCACACCCAAACCCACCCAACTAACACCCGACACCACCCTGAAGCCCCGACTTCGCCCCGATTCCCCCCCGATTCCGCCCCAAGCCCGGTACCTACACGGCCAGCAGCGCGGTGACGGGGCAGTGGTCGCTGCCCGGCGCGGCGCTGCGGATCTTGCAGTCGCACAGCGCGCCCAGCAGCCGCCGCGACAGCACGGCGTAGTCCAGCCGCCAGCCCACGTTGCGCGCCCGCGCCGCGCCCAGGTAGGTCCAGAAGGTGAAGGCGCCGCGCGCCTCGGGGTACAGGTGCCGGAAGGAATCCACGAACCCGGCGGCCAGCAGCCGCGTGAACCCCTCCCGTTCCTCCGGCGTGAAGCCGGGGCTGGCGCGGTTGGCGCGCGGGTGGCACAGGTCGAGCTCGGCGTGCGCCACGTTGAGGTCGCCGCAGAGCAGCACCGGCTTGCGGGCGTCCAGGCGGCGCAGGAAGGAGAGGAAGGCGGCGTCGAAGCGGCGCCGCGGCTCCAGCCGCGCCAGGCCCCGGCCCGAGTTGGGCACGTAGGCCGAGACCACGAAGAGAGAGGGGAACTCGGCCGTCAGCACGCGGCCGTCGGCGTCGTGCTCGGGGTCGCCTGAGGGAGAGGGGGGGGTTGGACTGGGAGGGGCTGGTTTGTACTGGGAGCGACTGGTTTGTACTGGGAGGGGA